CAGTAAATAGATAATGCAAATTGTGTAAAGTTCTTTCCAGCACTAAAAACCATGTGCTTTCACTTTCACCTCCCACTTGTCACTACTATTACTAACAAGCTCTGTTGACTGAGTTTTCCATATGAAACTGTAAATTAGGAAATATCGAAATAACAATTATTTTCATTCAATTGGAACCTTAGAAACTTTGGTAAAACCCCGCAAGATTTTGCAGATTATTTCAAAAGACCATTTTGTGGTCATTATTTCACTAGTAATAACAAAATGCATATTTTCACTTATAAGCCTAAATCCTAGAGTTTTCATTAACGATAAAAGATGTATGAAATACAAGGCCTAAAATAAGGGGAGAACTGATGATAGGAGATTTCAACTAAGCATTTAAAACCCAAGACACTATCCAAATAACAAATGGCAAACCATATGACTAAGTTGCTTGCATATATTTACGTTCTTTAAGATTACAGAGGGCACAGCTAAACCTAAACAAGATTACAAGCAAATCCAAAAGAATATGAACCTCTACTTCAGATAGTACATCACATGCACACATAACATGTAATCAAAAGCTTCATACTACATTGCTAGCATGGAAGGCAAAAGACGTGCTGGCCTATGCAGATTTCCCCAGAAGGCAGTGAGGAAACTGAAGGCCCTATCAAAGAAACTTCTTTCATAAGGAAACTTCTCGGGAAAGTATCCTCGTCATTGAAAATTAGAGAAAGAAATAGATGCTTTATACGTAACAAGAAAGACAAGATGCATGGGAATTGTTAATGTGAATAAGGAGATAAGGGAGAATGTAAAAGGCTTCTTTGTGAAACTGTATTTAGGGGATGCCCTATGGCGGCCAATATTGGACATGCTAGATTTCAACGTATTGGAAGGCAAAGACTAGAACATGTTTGGAGTCTCCTTTCACCGAAGTAAAGATTCTTGAGGCTCTCCTGAGTTGCAAGGGAGACAAGGCTCCCAGGGCAAATGGTTTCAACATGAGTTTCATCCAGCAAAATTGGACACTGTTCAAAGATGATTTTATGTTGCTATTATTCAACTAACGTTATGAAAATGGTTATGCTTTGTTTCTATCCTGAATTCAACTCTTTTAGTTCTCATTCCAAAACTAGTTGTGGCCTCAAATACAAGGGATTTACACCTATCAATCTCGTTGATAGTACTTACAAGCTTGTTTTGAAGGTTTGAAAGAGTCGTAGGAAAGGTAGTAAGGGAGATAAAACATGATCTTACTACAGCAGGCAAATTCTGGATACTGTCCTAATTACAAATGAAGTGGTGGATAGTTTCGTAAAAAGAGGTGCAGAAAGGGTTATCTGTAAGCTAGATATGGAAAAGGTATACAATCACATGTTTGTCAAGATACAAAGAGTAAAAAAGGAAAAATGATAAATTAGTCTTTCGCATATATCAATTAGGGTTAGGGTTAAGGTTTTGAATGCACTTCCACAGCAGCCGCTACTGCATCAAGAACAGTCATTGATTCCAGTCGTGATAGTCACTCTTTCAATTGTTTATAGCCTATAAAAGGCTCAATCTTTATGCTGTAATCATCAAGGAAAGAAATAAAATAACTATCTTAGGTTTTCCTCTCTGTTTCTCCTCTCCTTCCTTCTTCCTTCTTCCTCTTCTCTTCTTTTTTTTTTTCAGATCAGATCCCATGTCAAAGGTGTCTGACAGTATTACGGAGTTTTCTGTTTTACATGTTGACTTGCATCCCTTGTCAATGCTGGCCCTTCAAGATATTTCAAGGCCTCTAAAAGCCTAAGTCAATGAGAAATTATCTCCCAACTTCTCTTTATTATCGTGATGGAGGTGGGAGACCCTCAATTATTTAGGAGTTTGGTGGGGAAATGAAGATGTTGAGGAGGCGACCATTTGTTCTTTGCTAATGATACATTAATTTTCTAGAAATCCAATCCCCAGTGTTTATTGAAAGTTAGACGTATTCTCCGATGCTTTCAAGCCATATCTAGTCTCAAGATTAATTTAGCAGAGTCAAACTTAGTTTCGATTGGACAAAGGTAGGACCCAGCTACTTTGGTCGAAACTTTGGGGAATCAAGCGGTTAACATACTAGTAAAGTACTTGGGTTTACTCTTGGAACTAAGTACAAATGCCCCACTGGACGACACCGTGAAGATATTTAAATCCAGATTAGCAGGATGGATTGGAACTTCCTTTCAAATGGGAAAAAGAGTGACACTCATCAAGAGTTACTCTAACCAAATTTACCAATCATCTATTGCTGATCATTATTAATCATCTTGGCGAATACAACGAAAAAACTAGAGGCTATTCAACCTCATTCCTATAGGGTATTCTCATGAGAAAAGGGGCTTAGGGATCAGATTAATGGTTGAGTCCAACAAGGCACTATAGAGTAAGTGACTATGGATATTCATGAGAGAGAGGGATAACTTCTGGTAGAGAGTGATCGTGGCTAAGTTTGAAATAGACAGCATAGGTTGACACTCCAGAAGCTCTAGAAGTCCCTTATGGTGTTAGGTTAGGGAAGAAAATCATAATGGGAAAAGAGGATTTTCAAGGGGCATCTGTTGAAAGGTTATGTCGGGTCAAAGGGGCGAGGTTCTGCTGAGCAACATTTTCTCATAATTTATTATTTAGCTCATAATAAAGAGGCAATGGTGGCAGAATCTTTTTCCAGCTCCCTAGGTAATGGTGTCTAAGTGGTAGGCTAGTTAGGAATCCAATGATTGGGAGGTGATAAGTACGTAAACTCATTTGAGTATCTGTCCCAATGCAGAATAATTTAGGCATTGGATAAGCAAGCCTGGAAGCTTAGTTCGAAATGTGCCTTTTGGATAAAATTTTACAATTTCCATTTGAAACAACGAGATTTTCCATGGAAACTGAATTGGAATATCAATACTTCACCTAAAATGGCTTTTTTTTTTTACTTTGCATGTCGCAAAAGGTTGTTTTTTAACTGTAGAAAAGCTTATTAAAAGACCAAAATTGTGAATAGGTCCTACTTTTGCGAGAGTGTTGCAAGTCTAGGAATCATCTTCTCTTCTAGTCACCTTTCTCCGATCAACTTTGGCCTATGGCTTATAATCTTATGGGGGTAAAGGGAGCAATGGCTAGTCCACTAAAGATGAGATATGGGCATAGAGAGGCATCCATGGGGATATGCCACAAATTAGGTAGAACTTATCCTTTTTGGCAACCTTAAGGGCAATTTGGAAGAAAAAGACAAAAAAGAATTTTGAGGGCATAGAATTTACTTTTAATATATAATTAAGAATATTTGGTTCTAGACCCTAGGGTGTTTTATTAAGAATTATCCTCTTTACACTTGTGAGGAACTAAAAGTCTTTTTACTTCGGAAAAAATATAATTGCATCCCTTAGTGCTTAGGCATACAATAGTTTACTTCGAAAAAGATATTGAAGATGAGATGCCTAAACAAGCTTATCTATATTATCCATGGACAAGGAACCTGCAGAGGCAACCTCAGTCATGATGGATATGCAATGGGTGGTGCTTGGGTCAGTGTTGAAAAACTATGAGCTTGCGGTGCAATTGAGGATGATATGGAGAAGAAAAAGAGAACTTTGATTCCGATGTCTATTGTTTGGTTAACCTGGAGAAAGAGAAATTATCAAATTTTAGAAGAAGAAATTACCACCTTCCCAAAGGATTAGGGGATAACGTCAGTCACATTGACAAGGGAGAGTCATTTGCCCTTGTGGATCCTTTGCCTTGAACCTAGTAGTATATATACTCTTGAAGGTGGGTAGTAATCCCTTGGTACTTTATGACAATACATTCCTTTGTCTATCGGAAGAAAAAAGACATCTAAAAATGCTTTAGGACTTCATTTCAAAAACCCTCATACTACTAATTTGTTAAAAGAAAACAAAAAATGTTTGAAAAATACATGAACGGAAAAATAAGGACTAACTAAATGGCTATACAGCAAACACTGATTTTTTTCAATCACAAGAAAATATGATAAAGAGTACAGAAGACGAGACTTGCCAGAGAAGTGATTTGTTATCAAGTTCCTGCTTTGGTACATCACGGCCACGCATTGTGACCAAATCCAGAAATATGGCTTTATTCTCACAACAGATGACAAGAAAATGCCTTCCTTTTGTTGATGCAGCAGGAGAAGTAAAAGCAGAAGTAAGATGATTGACAGCTGAAGGAGACTCTGCTGCTGCAGAGCGGTTACGCCAAAGTTGCCAATATCGCACATCATCATCATAAAAATTCACCTGCTTGACGCTTATTAAAGATCAACAGCCCACATGTTATGTTTACTTCAAAAGAGACTAGCATAGCTAAATATGGAAAGCAAATAAAGGGGTCAATACCTCCCACCCCGAATAGCCTCGGTTGGTTTTCCTTTAGAGTCTGCTAGCAAGTTATAGAAGCAGCAAACAGGAAGAGTTAATAGAGTAAATTTTATTTGTATCTTCATTATTGTGGAAACAAATGCAGAAAAAGCTTTTATTTACATCTTTACTATTAGACAAACTGCAAGTGAGTTCAGTGAATTTAGATTAAACTATGAACTCATTTCTAATTAACAACTTGTATAACATAAGCATAACCATGAAATCTGAATAGATGTTTAACATTAAATAATTGGTTTTCGAAGTAGTAATATCTTCAACCTCATCTATCCATGTACACAGATGGGAGACTAAAATTGAAACTCGAAAGGTGGTCTCACCAGATTCGCCCTCGGCAAGCTTCTCCAGCTTAGCACCAACCAAGCGCCTCTCATCAACCCCACCGGCTTTTAACTCGTAAATCACCTGACAGATACAGATGCATTCCATTTTGAATTATACTGATTTCGAAAAGAAAGAAAGAAAAACATCAAATTGAAAAAAAAAAAAAAAAAAAGTTATTACACCTGTCGATGATCCCAGTTCCAAACCGAGACATGATCTGAAGCATCCGCAGTAACAAGCCATGGATGCGTGGGGTGCAGCTGTATCTTTACTATCTTATCATTCGTCGGCCGGAACGCTCTTAATCGGAGCATTTCTCTTCCTTAACTTTGTCTTTGTTCCCTGATCTGATCCAATTCTAACCCCCAACACGAACACGATTAACGCAGTCCTTCAACTTAAATAGCATATCTACATATATATTCTTCAAGTTAGAGTTGCAATG